TATATATATATATATATATACACACACATACATACACACAAATAAAAATAATCTAGTGGGGGAAAAAAACAAAAAACAAATAAAACGGGGAATTAAAAAAAAGCTATTAAGGATGTCAACTAAGGATGTCAACACAAAAGCAAAAAAATCAGATGCATTACGGTAATGAGAATTGGAAAAACTGGTCTTTAATTGGCATTGATATATATAGGTCTACACATATATAGTTACTAAATGATTTTGACTCAAGAGACGAAACACAGCAAGGTCATGAGGATGTGATCCTGCAGTCAGAGACAGCTAGTGTTGTACATTATGTTGTGCACGGGGCACAGAAACACCCTCTGTGAGCAGCAGGATCATCACAACACTAATCACAAACCTTTTAACAACCCCAGACATGAAGACTCACCAGCTGCTCAGGTTAACAAGAAACCAGCCCAAAATCAAAGCCTCTGCCCTTCATTAAATAAAGCACTGAACCTGTCCCAGCATAGAGGTACCTAGAGAAAACCCATCCACCTGCATAGCAACAACTAAGGAACATGGCCATGCATTACAATGTCCTGATGTCCAGACAGACCTCAGTACAGACCTCAAAGACAGATCACAAAAGGACTGATACTTCCAACAGTCCACATTTATAGCTTGCCTGTCCAATAAAATAGAATCACTGGAGTCAAATTAACAGACAATAACCACAATAGACACCAAATGCACATATTTCTGAATAATGGAAATCTAAAATGGTGTGTAACCAAGAGTTAATTTAGCCATGAACTAGCATTGAAAGTCAAACACTTAATCTCAGCACTCACATGCCAACGAGTCATCACAACCATCTGTCAAAAACATACAAACACACATCTATCGGCTTCATACAGACATCCTTCAACAAACAAAAACACGGATTACTGACCACAGAAAGCCCTTTGTGCTGAGCTGATCTCCACTGAACAACTGCTTCCTACATGCTCGCTCCCTCTCTATGGCTCTCGACTGGCAAGTAGATAATGCTGCAGGATTACCAGTGTGTCTCTCTCTCTAATACTGATTACATTCAAGAGAAAGCAGCGGCAGCAGCTGAGAGATGACATGCTGCTCTCTCCTTCTCTCTCTCACTTCATACCTCCAGGCATTTATCACACACACACACACACACAGTATGCCTGCTGTAAGCTTTCGCTCTCTAGCTCTCTGCAGGAAATTGGGACGGAAGGGCAGGTGAGAATAGGGAAAAAAACGATGAGTAAAGCAAGAGGCAGGCTATTCAGTGCATCATATCAGCAGGCGTTACAACCGTTCTAATAATGGAACAAACACACTTTCAGGAAGTGTTCTTCATAAAAAAAAAAGGAAGATGAAGCGCAATAGAAAGCAACACAGCTGCATTTTTGAGCCAATTTTAACTCTACACAGCATCTTTACACAGTTTATGCCTAGAGCAAAATAGCAGCGACTCACGCCAAAGTGGCCTATACTAGACTGACGATTTAAAAAAAATATATATATACGTCTAGACACACATACACATTCAGATACACAATTGTTAAAAAATTGGGGTCAGTAAGTTTTTGAAAGAAATTATCAGTTTTATCTAGTAAAGGATGTATTCAATTGAACACAATTGATCAAAAGTGACAGTAGGCCTGTCGCAATAATCAATATATATCGACTTATCGCTTTTTAATTTTTGGTGACGCAATATTTAGCCCATTATATTTACTTAAAAATGAATGTCACCATGTTTTGTACATTCCACTTGCGCCAGTATCTTTTGCAGCTTCTCGTACATAACGTGGTGTAGTCATGAGGTGCTAGTTCAAATTTAAAATATGCTTCTACAAAAAAAGTTTAATCTGCAGATATGGTCTTGTTTAGGGGTCTGTGCCTTTGTGCATACGGACATCTGACTGCTAAGTAGTGATTGTAAATTAAGGGTGCACACTATTGCTGAAAAACACAGAGAAAAGAAGGTCAGAGAAACATCTCCATACAAGTTCTTTGTGCATTTTTCTTTTTTTCTACTTGTTACATTGCACTTTTTGTTAGAAAATGTTTATTTACTATTTACTCAGGTTTTTCAAGGCATCTAATATTTTGATGATCTAAATATTCTTCAAAATTAAAAGTTTGTTGTCATTTGTAAGTGTGTAGGCATTATTATGCCATTACATTATGATTATATATTCAGTGGCATAAAATGGTCATTAAAATGACAATAATATCGCTTATCGCAATTATTTCTGGGGCAATATATCGCACAACAAAAAAGTTATCGTGACAGGCCTAAGTGACAGTAAAAACATTTATAAAGTTACAAAAGACTTATATATTTTTTTAAATGCTGTTCTTTTTTAACTTTTTTTTTTCACAATTTCCATAAAAATAAATAAAAATCAACCCCAAACATTTGAACAGTAGCTTACATCACAGTTTAACCAAAGTATGGGTCTGATGTGAACAGCTCCTAACAGGCCCCTTTAAGGCCAGTCAGTTGATTCAAGCAGCCATCTTGATAATGTCCCTGTGCATTTAATTTATATATGGATAATGGACATACAAGAACAGGTCCTATCAACTAGAATGGTGAAAGACAGGAATCTCAAAATATATTTATTTATCTGGTCTAGTCAGTCAATGCGCATATTTAGTCTGAGTGAATCAAATACTATAACTTTAAATTCTTCTCTATAAATTCTTACAGCAGCCATATAGTGTGTTATAAACGCTTTTCATTAATATTTCTACATTAGATTGGTCACCTTTCCATTATGCTGTAGCTGCAGTAACAATTTCTGTCATGAGAATTGAATAAGGTCCGTATGCAACACAACTAGTGATAAACAAATATAGACATTTGAGTTTATGATTGTATTTATGCTATGGATGATCAACATTATTATTTATGGTCAAAAATGTATGGCCAACACACAGTGTATGCTTTTATAATAAGTAAATATAATAATAAGCTTAATATCATCTGGTACTAATTAATATTGAAACATACAAAAAAAAACAACAACAACACAGGTTTATCACATATCTCTAAATGCAACTATGATTGAGCAAAGAATAAAAATCCCACAAATGACTATGCATAAACATAATTTCGATGTTAGATTCAAATGCACGTCACAATCCTGAACTGAGATCAAACTTCTAAATGCAGATGGTGGAGTATAAATATATCAGTTTATATGACAATGCGATGTTAGAAGGGATGACACTGCAATAAACAAAGCATAGCGTTTTTGCAACACATTTACAACAGATACATTGTTTTAAAACGTAGGAGCAATAGCAAGATCACCTCCTGTTGTCTCCTATTGTAGACACTAGGGATGTTCATTTTAACCGGTTAACCGTTAACCGACAGTGAAGAATTTTGACCGATTAATACAATCAGTTTAAAAAGTAATTTATAAATTTTTTTAGTAATTTATCAAAATATTTAAAAAGGTTTGCGGCATAGTTGAAATGCTACGCACATAAAAAAAAATAGTTTTTTTTAGAGGAAAAAAAAACAACAACGTCCAAGTCGCATTTTATTATTTCATTCAGAAATAGGCCTAATGCCGACACGAAATGTTTACAAACATAATAAACACTGTAAACATAGCTAGGCTATTTTAGTTCCCCTAACTCCACAACAAAGCCTTTCAATTAACAGTATTTAGAAAAGAACAAGAATTACAAATATAAGAAGCAATAAACGACAAGCCAAAACAAATAAATTTAGGCTAAAACTAAACTGAAACCAACGTTGCGTCTCTCATTCGACACAAAATCAAATGTTTCCGTATTCGCGATGTATTTGAATGCCAAAATATTATTTATTATGTAGCCTATTTCACTCGCGTTCCAATATCCACGTAAAACAAAATGGTTTGCATAACATCATTCACGGCGGTGTGGTGATAACGCTTAACGGCACAGATTTGACTACATATTTAAACTGAGCAGTGTGTTTTTTTCCATATGTTTGACTGACTATTTTATTATGATAATGAGCAGGCTGCATTGTCAAGGTAGCAATGCTTAACTGTGTGCGCGCGCTTGCTTCGCCATCATTTCCTTCTAACAGTGGAAGCAACTACTCCTTTTAGTCAAAGATAATCGGAATTGTAATAGGTTTGCCTTTATTTGTGTACATTCACAATAAAAACAAATCTTTGTGCTTTTGTAAAATAAGCCTAAAGGAAACTAGGATGCCGCTTTCTGCCCTCTGGTTTCCTTTCACGCAACACAAAAATGAACAAACTCTGCATACTAGACTACTTGTTGCACAATTTCTCTTTCGTTTTCTTAATTTATTAAGTAAAATTATATTTCTTGTATAGGCTTATTTATCGTTATATATATAGGCCTATAGCCTAGCTTTATTATGTTTTTCTCAGCTCGCAGAAGCGCTGCAGGTGCGTGATGTGATATGAAGACCATGTGAATCCTCATGTTCTGTTGTTTGCTGCTTTTTGCGCATGTAAAATTACCCAGAAACAAATGTTAGTATTTTTTAACGGGTCACAGACACGTATCCTTTCTAATTTAATTAAATTCAAATTTAAAATAATCTTGTCGGTTAACGGTTAATAATCGATTAACGAGCGTCAGTTGACAGTTAGGAAAAATAACCGAAATGAACATCCCAAGTAGACACTTACCAGAGGGTTATGTTCGAGGAGTGCAGGGTTGTATGGGAGAGAGTCACAGAATGCAGGGAGAGTAAAGACAGCACTGCTGCCTGCCCTCAGAGCTGCGGCTTTGTTCCCGTAAGTGGGACACACAGGGAGCCGGTGAACATTCAGCTGGCTGCCAACCAACCCCTGCCACTCCTTCCCCAAAGCAGAGGGAGGACGTGCTGCACGTGCAGTTCTCGCGACTTATTAGCACTCACTCATTTGCTCTGGCTCACAATACCCTGAAGACTAAAGGATGGTTGACAATGTCGAATGCACCGCATTCACACACATTCAGACACTGCAGTTTAATTTAAGAACCACCCACTTATGAAGAGACTGTCTGATTGATGAGTAAAACAACCATTCACAGCCTATTTTATGTAATGTATACAGCTATGTATCCGACTGAGGATCTGATGCCATAAACCTCATGAACTTGAAAAATCAGCAAGCACATTGGTGCACTTAAGACCAGTGAGTGGGATCAAGACGAGATGAGAAGAGGTTAGGAACAAGGGAAACATTTTCAAAAAGGAGGAAGAAGTCAATAAGTTCAAAAATCAAATCCTCGGCACAGAGGTCATCTTTCCTTAAGCCCAGATGGCTACTCAGCATGCACACACTCACACTAGAAGAGCATGTAGAGATGCAAAAAAAAAATGAATGAGATTCATAAAAAGACTAAAGTTGATCCAAAAAGCACTCAAAAACACACACTCTAAAAGCAATAAAATATAAGTAAAAAGACCAGTGTATTTACTGATAAGACTGTAAAGCTCAACAAAATCACTATATATATATACACAGATATATACTGTATACATATTTACAGATATATACTGTATATATATATATATATATATATATATATATATA